TGGCCCAGAAGCAGGTATATGAGATTCAGCCAAGAGTACATGCCAACTCATTTTCCAACTGCTGATTTTTTTCATTCCAGCGCTCGCATGTGTATGAAGCAGCTGCCAAACATGTCCTATAAGTGGGGCCAGGAGTAGAGTCAACAGAGGAAGAAGAAACCAAAAGGAGGCCGCCTGTATCCCACATTGCATTAAAATCCTCCTGGGGCAGCCAGCTCCATGACATCACCCTTGGTTATTAATGGCTTCGTATTTGTTTATTTCAGCACTCTGTGCCAGGGAGGGATTAAAATAATAGCATTTTTACCCAGAGAAAATTAATGTTGTGCCTGTGCACAACACAAACTGCTGAAAAGCAGTGGAGTCTCTTGATACCATCTTCTTGAACAGTGAGGGGTGTAATTAATTACAGAGAAGAGGCGGGTAGGGGGGAGTCAGTTTCTGCAAATTTAAGCTCTTTGAAATGTTAGATAGGTGAAATTGGTTTGGAGCAGAGCTTAAATAAATGTGACTTAAAGTTTGATCCTATAGGTGATTCCGTAGAAGTATAAGCACCTAAGACTACAACTTTTAAGTTTCCTTCTGTCAAAGTGTTCTGGCTTAACTTGTCTGAGAATCACAGCTGTTCAGTGCAATCCTGTAGATGCTGGCTTTCTGTACATGCACACTGCTTGGAGAGTTTCATGATTAAGCAGTCTATAAATCTTCTAAATAAATAAGTCAAGTGAACCAATCCCTTGACGATCAGTATAATACACACCAGGCAAGTGTGCTTAGGAGTGAAGCTTCATATATATATTTTCAACTCACATAAATGAGTTGGGGGGGGGGGGAAATGTTTAAATAACTTTTTCTTTAAAACTTGAAGCCTTTCTTTTAGGAATTCTAGGTGCCAAAATCCCAATGGAGCAGTAAAGACTATTTATGTACATGACCATGGCTGCGCGGATGTTATTGGCCCAGAGATGGAAAGAAGATGAAGTCCCTACCAGAGAAGAATGGCAGATTATGTTGATGGATTATGCTAAAATGGCTAAAATGACCGGAAGAATCAGAAATCAGGAAGACCAAAATTTTAATAAGCAGTGGGGAAAATTTATAATTTATCTTAAAAACCATTGTAGACAGCTAAGATTGCTAGTTGGATTGGAACAACACTTGTAGTTTAATGGTGAATTTTGGACACAATGGAGATGTAAAAGACTTGGATTATTATAAAAGATGCAGGTGGAAATGACTAACAATAGGACCCACAAAGGGAAGGAGGGAAGTCCAGGAGATTATCTGGAATCTTGTTTTTATGATGTATGTTGGATATGTGATTGGTTTTTCAAATTAAAGTTTTACAAATAAATTTATAAAAAAGGAGTGAAGCCCTAGGCTGCTATGCTATACCGACTTACATGGGAGCAAGGTCCATTCCACTCAATTGGACTGACTTCTGGGTAAACATATCTAGGCTTGCAAAGAAAGTAAATTCAGTACATCGGTTAGCTCCGCCAATAGTATGTACCATTATTGAAAAATCTTGGTGCAAAGGCTTATCTGGGATTTAATGCAGGCTTCCTCAACCTTGGCCCTCCAGATGTTTTTGGCCTACAACTCCCATGATCCCTAGCTAGCAGGACCAGTGGTCAGGGATGATGGGAACTGTAGTCTCATCTGGAGGGCCAAGGTTGAGGAAGCCTGATTTAATGGGATACCTCTGAGTAAACATGGTTGAGATTCAGGCAGATTAAGGCTTTGTTCCACCTTCACAAAACTCCTCTAAATTCAATACAAAAGGAAAACATTATTTACTTATGGAAAGAACCGTTATTGTATTATTTTCTTTCTCAACTGTTTTGAGTGTCCTGATGGAAAGCAGGATATAAATAATAAATTGAACTGGACCAAACTAAAACCAATCAAAACATACTGGAAAACTGGGCCCAAACTAACAGAATTAATTTCAATAGGGATAAATGTAAAGTTCCTTCCTTAGGCAGGAAGAACCAGATGCACAAATATAAGATGAGGGACACCTGGCTTGACAGTTGTACATGTGGAAAGGATCGAAGGGTTTTGGTAGACCACAAGCTCCATGTCAGTCAACAGGATGATGCAGCAGCAAAAAAAACAAAAACAAAAAAATCTCCTAATTTATTCTAGGCTGCATCAACCGAAATACAATGTCCACATCAATGAAAGTAATAGTACCACTCTATTCCGCCTCGGTCAGACCACATCTGAAACAGTGTGTTCTGGGTGCAACAATTTAAGAAGGATGTTGATGAGCTGGAACATGTGTAGAGGAGGGCGATCAAGATGATCAAAGTTCTGGAAACCAAGCTTTATGAGGAATGGTTGAAGGTGCTGCGTATGTTTAGCCTGGAAAAATGGAGACCGAGAGGAGATATGATAGCCATCTTCAAATATCTAAAGAGCTGTCACATGGAAGATGGAGCAAGCTTGTTTTCTCCTGCTCTGGAGGGCCGGACTTGAACCAATGGATTTAAGAAAGGAGATCCCGACTAAACACCAGGAAGAACTTTCTGACAATAAGAGCTGTTTGATAGTGGAAAGGACTTATTCAGAAGGTGGTGGCTTCTTCTTCCTTTGAGGTTTTCAAGCAGAGGTTGGATGGCCATCTGTCATGAATCCTTTAGCTGAGATTCCTGCATTTCAGGGGACTTAGATGACCCTCAGTGTCCCTTCCAACTCTACAATTTTATGATTCTATGAAATAATGGTGATATTTCTGGGGTTTGGAGTTGCATCGAGGGATCTGCTTGCTTTCTTAGGGTGGCGCCATTGATCGTAGCAACTTCACAGTGACACGAATACTGTTCTTCAGAGCAGGAACAAACACTAAAACACAGTACACACTTATTGGCAGAGAAAGGGGGGTTTACTATACCATATGGGGCTTGAGTACTTTAAGGGGCTTGGAGTGGTGGGTCGGAGCCAAGATGGTTGCTTGATTTTTCAAGGCACATTTCTTCTCCTTAGGCAGCATTCCGAAGTACCCCAGCAGCACACAGTTTCGGAATCAGCGGGTTAGAGGGATGCTAAAGACTATAGCAGCATCGATCACCGTAAATGCCTCACTCAAATTGTGTGTGTTTTTTGTCTCGGCCATAATATTTCATTCAACCCTAACCATTTGTTAAACACACATCCTGAAAGCAAATTACCTTTTTTTATTTTAAAAAAATGTAAATACACTTTTCGAAGCATTGTTCCATCTGTTGAAAATGTGCAGTAGTAGTTTTGACCCTTGTCTAAACCAGGCAGGCTACTTTCAGGCAAGTTTGGGAGGTAAATGAACTGTCTGGCTGCTTTTCTTGGCAACATCTCTTATTAGTGGGAGGTGGCAGTAAAGAGAACATGAGGAAGACTGAAAGTGTTTACTTAAAACTTTAGCCAAATGGCTAGGGAGAGTTAAGATAAATCATAACTGTCAATGATGACAACTTTAGACTGCTACTACTTCAACTCCTGTTTATGCACTTTTAAAAAGTTGCACTTTGGAGAGGGGGGAGAGAGAGATTAAAATTAGAAACAGGCTGCCTTTTAATTGACATATGCCATCAGAAGTTTCTATGCGAATAGTTTGGACTCCATTCTGAGGGCGACATGGAAGATTTGCAGGAAGAAGGCTGTAAAGCTTCACACAACACTTGAGAGATAATATTTTTAAGAGTGTCTCCAAAATATGCATCTCTGACTCATATTTCCCCGAAGAATGAAATCCATAGATCAGTGCAAAGTTATTACACATACTCTCTCTCTCTCTCATTCTCTCTCTCTCTCTCTCTCTCTCTCAGATACACACAAACAGGCCAAAAAGTTATAGTAATTGGCCATATGGGACTACTAAGCTGAGTCCATTTTTTCCCCTTCTCCACTTTTAGTCTTGCTTGCCTTAAAACAAAATAAACTGGGATCTAATGTTATAATTTAACCTGTGTCTAAGATCTGATCATTTAATACTGAAAACCACAGACATCATTAACCATCAGGAAAGCTGCTACAAATGCACTGCACTAATTCTCTCTTGTTAAGATAGTGGCACAGGTTTAAATGTCTATTTTGCATCCTATTTCACCAGCACATTTGAAACACATACCTGTATCTATTTCACTGCACGCTGTCTGCACACCAGGATGCTCTGGTCCATCACAGCTCCTATTGCGTGTAACCACTGTGAACACACTGGTATAGTATGCATATGCATGCTGTGTACACTCACAGTGTACAAGTAAGATGGATTTTTATCTCAAAGTCAAAATTTGCATGTTTGGCGAGGGAGAACCATTGGTCAAACAGCTAAGTAAATTGTGTGGAAATGACAAGTGCTTCTCTGCTCTTCTTCCGAGTCCCAGACACCAGTTATGATGGAGACAGAGTTGACCAAAAGCAAACAAAGGATGTTTTTTAAGGCTCCCAGTACCTGAGCCAGTAAGAACAGTGCCAGTTATTCTGTAGCTCAGAACTATTGAGTGGCATTCAGACGATGCTAACTTCTGTCTGGGCATCCCTGGCCTTGCCAGTTAAAAGGTTTCAAGTGCAGTGGTACCTCAGGTTACGAACTTAATTCGTTCTGGAGGTCCGTTCTTAACCCGAAACCGTTCTTAACCTGAGGCGCGCTTTCGCTAATGGGACCTCCCGCTGCCGCTGTGCCGCTGCTGCACGATCTACATTCTCACCCTGGGGCAAAGTTCTCAACCTGAGGTACTACTTCCGGGTTAGCAGAGTTTGTAACCCGAAGTGTTTGTAACTCGAAGCGTTTGTAACCCAAGGTACCACTGTATCAGATTTGGCAAAAGAGCTCTGCTATAGACCACAGAGAGTCACTTTGGTACTGCCAACACAGTGGTTTGCCTCCCCCCTGCCATGGCACACTCCATTGTCTCTTGATGTTATCTCTGTTGTATACCACCCTTGTATTTTATATGAGGAGTGACCTATACATTTTTTATAATCAAACAAACATATATATATATATATATAGTCCAGTAGCACCTTAGAAACCAACTAAGTTTGTTCTTGGTATAAGCTTTCGTGTGCATGCACACTTATACCAAGAACAAACTTAGTTGGTCTCTAAGGTGCTACTTAGCACCCCTAAGTGATAAATAGGTACCGCTTAATAGCGGGAAGCTAAACAGTGTTTCCGTGTGCTGCGCTGGTGCCGGCTCGCCAGTTGCAGCTTCGTCACGCTGGCCACGTGACCCGGAAGTGTCTTCGGACGGCGCCGGCTCCCGGCCTCTTGAGCGAGATGAGCGCGCAACCCTAGAGTTGGTCACGACTGGCCTGTACGGGCAGGGGTACCTTTACCTTTAAGGTGCTACTGGAATTTATTTATTGTTTTAATATAATATATATTTCGACCAACACGGCTACCTACCTGAATCTAAAACCAAAAAATGTTATACATTGCAGGGGATAGGAATCAAGATTCTTCCCTCATGTTTTTTATTCTACCACTTTAGTGAGACTTACCTGAAATAATTCTAAGCTGCTACTTGTGGCTAGCCTTTACCTATACCCCCCTACTGAGAATGCAAATGTAAGGAACCAATGTAAGTAAGTGAAGAAAAAGAAAAAGATCAGTTTGAGTGTATGAAGGCAGCTGGTGTATCTATGGAAAAAATTGTGCTGTCCTGCGAAGATACAAGACTGAAATCCATGAGTCATCTAGTGCCGTTATGCTCAGAGTTGAAAAGGGCATTCTCGAGGAACTGTAGCTGCATTAGTTTGGTATTTAGTATGAACTATAGTAAAAGGACATTTTTATGCAAGTAAATACATAGTGCTAAACTAACACGAGATAATGAGAATGATTTAGAAAGGGAAGGTCTTGGCTAACTAGATGCTTCAGGAGGTTACAGACAAAGCTGATAAGAAGTAGACATAATTTATTTGGGTTTTCAGAAGGTTTTTGACTAAGTTCCATACTACTGGTCTCCATTTAAGCTCCAGTTGCCAGGAACGTAGCAACTACAAGGGAGTGAGTCAAGCGATGATGGGGAAAGGCAGTTGGGGTGGAGGGTAAGTAGGGGGAACCAGAGAAGCTATGCTAGATTGCAGCAAGCCAGATTTACAGGGGCCTGGTAGAGGTCAACGTTTTAGGCATCGACCATTCACGATCTATAAAAATGATATAGGCTAGTAAAAGTTGCTGACAGTACACTGTTGGATGAGCTGCGGACCTTCGGGAGTAGAGCATAGAAAGGCTGGGATTTTTCTGTCGTTAACTCGCTCCTTTTCCCCTGTTCAGAAATTAACTTGATGCCAGTTCATCAGCTGAAACGTTAAGAACGCTTACGCTTGGCGATAAATAGGGTCAAGCTAACAAAACATTACCTTAAGGTAGCTACATCAGAAGAGTGCCAAATATCAGACAAGACCAACATCAGTTAAAACACCTCATGTTTGTGTCTAAACATGAGAAAGGGGCTGTGTGACTACTAGATTGAATTATTAGTAAAGGTAAAGGTAAAGGTAAAGGTAAAGGGACCCCTGAGCATTAGGTCCAGTCGTGGCCGACTCTGGGGTTGGGGCACTCATCTCACTTTACTGGCCGAGGGAGCCAGTGTACAGCTTCCGGGTCATGTGGCCAGCATGACTAAGCCACTTCTGGCAAACCAGAGCAGCGCACGGAAACACCATTTACCTTCCCACCGGAGTGGTACCTATTTATCTACTTGCACTTTGATGTGCTTTCGAACTGCTAGGTTGGCAGGAAGATTGAATTATTATTATTGTTTTAATTAGTCACTTTCCTTCCAAAGTAATTCAGAGCTACAGTGGTACCTCCGGTTACATACGCTTCAGGTTACATACGCTTCAGGTTACAGACTCTGCTAACCCAGAAATAGTGCTTCAGGTTAAGAACTTTGCTTCAGGGTAAGAACAGAAATCGTGCTACGGCAGCACAGCGGCAGCGGGAGGCCCCATTAGCTAAAGTGGTGCTTCAGGTTAAGAAGAGTTTCAGGTTAAGTACAGACCTCCGGAACGAATTAAGTACTTAACCCGAGGTACCACTGTACTTACATTCATAAAAGGTAAAGGCAAAGTTACCCCTGACCATTAGGTCCCGTCGCGGATGACTCTGGGGTTGCGCGCTCATCTCGCTCTATAGGCCAAGGGAACCGGCGTTTGTCCACAGACAGCTTCCGGGTCATGTGGCCAGCATGACTAAGCCTCTTCTGGCGAACCAGAGCAGTGCACAAAAATACCGTTTACCTTCCTGCCAGAGCAGTACCTGTTTATCTACTTGCACTTGACGTGCTTTCGAACTGCTAGGTTGGCAGGAGCTGGGACCGAACAATGGGAGCTCACCCCGTCACAGGGATTCGAACTGCCAACCTTCTGATCGGCAAGCCCTAGGCTATGTGGTTTAGACCACAGCGCCACCCACACCCCTACTTACATTCATAGGACAACATTATTATCTAGAACATCATTCCCCAGCCTGTTGTTGGAGTATATTTCCCATCACCCCTGAACTTGCTGGCTTGGGGAAGATATGGAGAAGAAAGTCAACATTGTATTTTAATGAGAAATTTTCTGAATTCGCTCACATTGAACCAATATGCAAACTACCGTAAAACACAGCTATCCTTTGAAATTTGTGGTGCAGTTCTCTAACCTGTGTGAGGATAAATGCATTTCTGAGGGGAAAGCATGTATTGTAAAAAAAAAAGAAGTAAATTAATGAAAGCTGCATATTAAAATGTGTTTGGGATATTTGCACTAAAATGCTGACAAATTTTCATGAGGATGTTTTTAAAAATACAAATTGCTGCAGAAATGTACAGAAAGCTTAAGATTGGGAAAATGAGAGAGAGAAACCAGAATTGGCAGATTAGTCAGGGTGTGTGTGTGTGTGTGTGTGTGTGTGATGGGAGACGGAATTGTTGCTGGGGTACAGTAAAAAACACACCACTCTCAATGAATAGCAAAGTAAAAGAGCAGAGCCAAACCACAAATTCAACCATCAGTCTTTAAACTACAGAGGGACTACCCATTCCAGACTGAACAACTAACAGTCTGTGAAAGCTTGAGATAACAATCATCATTGCGTAGAAAGAGTTGGACCCCATTCCACAGAATGCTATGGGTTCAATCCTGACCCTTCTTCCCACCACCTCAGCAATAGAAGCACATGTCATCAAACTATGCATTTAATTTTTTCCCCCTTTCCTGAAATACCATATTAGATTTCTTTGTTTAAATTTTCAAAGCAGATTGGGGGGGAGGTTTTTTGGTAGTTGGAAAGGCCACGAAGTGCTATCTCATAATATTTTTACTGGGCATGAGGAGCCTGAAAAGATTCATAATATAGTTTTCAATGGAGCTGGGTTCACTCAGGGAATCAAATATGGTTCTAATTAAAATCTGCAAGCAGCTGAAGCTTGGCCAGGGACAAGTGAGGCAGCTGCCATGGGAAGAGCAGTGCAGGGAAGGTGGGAGTAGGCAGTAGCCATCTTTGGTACTGCTGCAAGTCTCACAGCTCTCTTTAAATGTGAACATCTGCCAAATAACTTTTGTCCGTTTGAAAAATAAGGAAAACATCCCCGAAAGTATCTTTTTTCGTTTTCCGTGAGGAGGGGAGAGGAATTGTCTTTGCTGTTGACAACCAATGGTTTGTTTTCATTTATTTATTTTTAAGAAAAAAGGTCAGAGCAGTCTTCACCAACCTAGTGCCCACGGTTGCTTGAGACCACAATACCCACCAGGCCCAGAAAGCTGGCTGTTCTGTCTACGGCTGATGGGAATTGTAGTCCAAAAGAGCTGGAGGGCAACAGGTTGGCAAAAGATGGGTCAGAGAAGGTGGTTTAATCAAGTTAATGCTAGTCTGAGAAGTTGATGGAGAAAAAACAGTCACTTATTGATTTACCGTATTTTTTGCTCTATAAGACGCACCAGACCACAAGACGCACCTGGTTTTTGGAGGAGGAAAACAAGAAAGCAGCAATCCCTCTTGCTGTTCTGGCTTCTGGGATAGCTGCGCAGCCTGCATCTGCTCCATAAGACGCACACACATTTCCCCTTACTTTTTAGGAGGGAAAAAGTGAGTCTTATAGAGCAAAAAATACGGTATTTCATAAAATGTATACACCGCTGGATTGCCAACAACAAGAACAACAGACCCTACTAAACATCTTCCAAGATAATAATGACCACCCACAATATAAAGAGCTCATAGCCCACCTACTCTCAGCAGCCAGACGCATCATAGCCAGACACTGGAGAGACCTGTCAGGAGTAAGCATGGAACAGTATGGGAAACAGCCTTATTAGAAAAACTAACCAATAAACTGAAACTGACATGGGAACAAATAGAAGAAGATGCCTTCACCCCTGTATGGTTCCCTTTCATCACATACATAGCCCAACAAGACAACAACAAAAATATGCCAACAGCATACAAATCAATCTGGCTAACCTGATCCAAAAACACTGTGCCGGTCCCGAGGGCTAACCGTGTGGCGAGGTCCGAGTCCAGTCCGAGGTCGAGGGTGTGGTATGGATACTGTCCATCAAAGCTGAAGCGGGGTCCAAGGCAGGGAGTCGGGTGAGGTCAGGAACTCTGGCAGAAGAGCAGGACAGGGTGCAGGCAGGAACAGGTTACCAACAATGTTGCTCCCGCAAGCTGGGACTGGGCTGGCTGGCTTTTATCTGCCCCGAGGCATAGGGCAGCCCCGCTCCACAGGTGACTCACCTCTCCTGGCCTGGAGGCGAGTTCTGCTCCTGTGAGAACTTAGTTCCCTCTGCCTCTCCGCCTCTCTGCCCTGAGCCTCTGCAGCTCAGGAGAGGCTGGAGGATTACCAGACCCAGAGGCAACCTCAGCTTCCCCTGACAGGGCTGAGAGTGGAGCACCTGCAGGCAATGGGTCCTCCATCATCTCAGGAGCCAGAGCAGACTCAGCTGGTGCCTGCACCTGAGGATCCAGCACAAGTGAGGACCCTTCAGGCTCAGGCTCAAGCGCCAGCCCAGGCTCAGCTGGTTCTGGAGGCGGGGACTCCTGTGCAGGCTGGGATTCCTCAGGTTCAGCCTCCGAGTCCGAATCCCAGGCCATCACAAACATACAGACACCCACCCTACTC